ATAGAGCGTACTCAGCATAACGTGGGAAAACGAGATTTATAGTAATTTTTATATCATTTTTTTTTTTTTTTCTTGTTATTATTTATTATTATAGGTTCAATCATAATAACAATTTTCTTAGGATTAAACAAATAAAAAAATTAACATTTTCTGTCTTTTTATCATATCTCGACATTGTGAGAGATACAATCCACATTACCCGCATGATAATCCTAACCGTATTCGATCCGCACATCAAATCGACCACAAAAAAATCAAGATTAAAACATTTGAACAGAACCCGTCTTGGTCTTGATCTTGCAACACATCAATGAATCCCTAAAAAATCGACTCCCCCTTTTTGCACTTGTGGATAAAATCTTACTATTAAACATATACTTGGTGAATACCCAAACGTTTTCAATATGCGAAAAACCATCTTGGCCTATAGATAGCCCCTGAAGTACCTGGATAGGCCTATTCAAAGCGACATCTCAAACCGTGCAGTCTGCCTTTTAAGAAGAAATAAGAGCCTATAGTCTTGGTTGCTAATACTCCTACGATTTATTTCTTTGATCTAAGTGAACTATATTAGTAATAAGCGTATCTTATAACTTTTGGCGATCGGCTATCATTCAGTTAAAAGCTTTCCCATAAGAAAAAAGCCGTAAAAATTATTAAAAATTTTAAAAAAATTTCTTCAATAATTTACCATTTATCCAAAATCTACGATACTCTACAATCTGGATAATCCATAGTGATTTATGAAAATATTTTCAATAGATTTTTGAAATGGAAATATTTATTTATTGCATATCACACAACATCTAGCTAAGAAGCTGTATATACAGAGAATGCCTTTAGGTGAATATAAACTTTTTTTTTTAATTCCTTTCTTCTTTTTTGCTTATGCAACATTCAGTGACGAGTCTTTCATTCGTCTTAATGTCAACAAACTAATAAATTTTTTTTTATTAAGCAATTAAATGAATTCCTTACTTCTCGCTAACCACAAAGATTAAGATAGCTTCGCACACACACACATTTTGAAAAATGTTTACCAACAAATAATTGCAACACATCTAATTATTTAGGGTTAATGATGCTTAGATAAATTCATTATGTATTCTATTGTGTTGCATAAAATGAATTAAGGAATTTTTCACAAAATGATGAAAAATCAAAAAGAATCGAAAAACCGCATGCCTTTTTAACTTGACTATTGAACACTCATCGTTGGAGCTCGAAAACATTTATCAGCTGATGTAAATTTAAAGCATTTTAAGAAAATAAACCATTCCAAGCAAAAGAATGCACTTTACTTTTATTTATTTATTCATTGTCTATATATATATATATATTTTGTAAACAAATTTCCAAAGTATGGACTTAAAGGCTGCCGGATAATTTTGATCATATGCTCGCCTAAAATGAAAACTCTACCGCATTTGAGATTTGAACCTACAACTCGGCTACACTTATGCGGACATAGTTTTTCCTTTCAATTTTTTTGAAAAAAATTTTTCACATGATTTTGAAAAATATTTGTACAAAATCGTAGACCGTTAGAAGTACGCAACGACTTCAACTGATAAATTCCCCGATTCCCCCACTGATAACAACTGATGAATCCCCCGATTTCCCGATTCATTCGAATCTCTTAATAAACTTTAGCTTTTTAACTTAATATTTTCAACATTAAGTATCGCGGGGGATTTAACTGGGATTCGGTTCAGAATCTCATCCCGATCAAGTACGCCTCGAAATTTGATTTATATTGTTTTGAAACAAGATTTTATTCTTCACCCAGTAGAGTAGAGAAAAGAAGACCATTACCTCCTCTCCCCCGCTTATTTCGCTCTGACTACCACTATGTTTATACATATATAAAGGGCATTTTGTGGGCGACTGCCTGGCATCAGCCAATTCGGTGTTTTAGGTGTCAGTGGTTCTAAAGATGTCCGAGCGTCCGCGTTGCAATTATGGAGAACTATTCTGCATTAGATTTGGAAAGTTGAGAAGTAGTACATTGTTATGACGACGCAGTTCCTGTAGAATTTTTTCTTAACTTGTTGTGTTTGCTTTCTAAACGATCAGCAGGCATAAATATTTCACACCACATAGTTTCGGGCAATATATGAAATTTGTTAACGCTCAGCAGTGCCTAAATCTGATCGTAAATCACATAATGTTCTCATTTTACCATTTCTGCTGATGCTGCAACAACCCCTTCTGCTAATCTATTTTAATATCATCTACCAACGCACTATCATACGAATAGAATTCATTTGGCCAACTTGACTACTATTAGTTCAAGTATATTGATGCACAATGCTTTTGTTGAGTTCACTCCTGTTGCAAATAATGAGAATTTATCAAAGAAAAGGTGAAATTTTCCAAGCATTAAACGGTCAATCTATATCTTTTGATCAATAATACCCAAGAATATATTTTATCTCTTTACGGATTCATCACTTCATATCCATAATAAGAGGTCGCCGGTATATACTCATCCTTAGTTAAAAAGTTAAAATAAATACCAATGAAATCTAATCGTCTTTAGCAATGCATTTAACATTAAGATAATTTGTATTTAAATGCTTTTCCCCAGTTACACTTGACAATTATTGAAAAGAAGGCGGAACCGTAATAAACTGCTGCTCTGCACAATTGGTTTCTTCTTTTAACGTGCTTTCCGAAGTGACGCTAGGTCAAGCTAAAAATTTTTTTTCACATACTAAACGATATGACAGAATTAGCATTCGCCTAATGCTTGGTAGTGGGTGTTAAATTTTCCATTTATTTTTAATGGCAGCAACTGTTCACATTTTTATTCTTTGATTTTCAATATTTACCATTTATCAAATAAACACAATGCCTGCATGTGTGTGTGTGTGTGTGTGTGTGTGTAAACATCGATATCTCTTTCTTTTTTTTTTTTGGTATAATATTTATTTTCGAATATCAACGGGAAAGAATTCAAACACAGTATTAAAAACTTTTATATATTTTTAATAAATAAACAAAAAATCTTCCCCTTAATAAAGGCAAAAATTGTGTTTACATTTCGAAAAGACGCGCAAACTGACAAAGACAGAGGGCGAGATTCATATAGAATGTAAATATATATATATATTAAGTACTTTTCCATTACTATTTAAATTAATCATATTTTTTTTCGCGTATCTCTTCTTCTTTTCTTTTATTTACAAAAAAAAAAAATCCAAATTAATATATATTACTGTTGCGAAATGAAATCATCTTTAGAAAGAATAAATTTATAAAAATAATAAATGAAAGTTTAAGCATGAAAAACGGAATTTTAATAAAAATCACTAAAAATTTATTTAGCAAACATCTGCCTCTATGCAAATATTTCATAAGAAAGGAAAATATTATAAAAATTCCATGCATTCTTTAGACAAACTTACGTACTTCAAAATTATAATAATAAGTTTTTATCATTTGTTATTGTTCTTCTTCTTCTTTTCCGTTTTTATTTTACTTGCTTTTTTGTAAAATACACCCAAACTATCTTTTTTAAGTTTAACTGTAGAGTGAGAGAGTTAGAGAGAGAGAGTGGGGGAGAGCAATTTGTTATTAGCTTTGCTCAAATTTTAAGTACCCAGATCTAGACAATATAATTTTTATTAATTTTAAAATGGTCTGAAACATTCATTGAACTTGTAATGGGGCCGAAAATTATTTTAGGGCAAAGGACAAAGTCTTCTAAAGAAAACCATTCCAGGTTCCATTCCTTCCCACTTAGGTATACATCAGCAAGAGAGAGTAAACCACGATACTCTCCGTGTCATATATGTAGATTTCTTTAAGTAAAGAATTTCTTCTCCAATCTAAGGTTTTAAGTCAAGACTTTAAGGCATCTGTCTAACCGATCCTCTGTGACTAACTGTTAGATCACATGAATTGTGGCAAAAAGCTGAATATTGCTCCATGCGCAGTCAGCTTAATTCCTCCGATCTGGCAAGAGCAAACACCTGCATACATTTATGGCAATTACAACAATAATTTCATTACTATATTAAATGCATCTAGAAGATGGAGAGGGAGAAAAAGAAGTCTTGCAGGTTTGTAAATATATGATATATGAATGTGACGGTCTCAGTTGTAGACAAGCTATCGAATTTATGACTTTTTATATTCCAAAAGCGGAAACAACAAAAAGGAAAAAAGTTGAAAAATCGAAAAAATTTTTAATCTTTTGCAGTTTGGTTATTAATCTGCGACCTACAGCTTGAACTTAATTATTCAAGCTATTTATCGAAAAGATAATTTGAGTGAAATTAACAGAAAACAAAGGGAAAACAACAAGAAGAACTAATGTCGCGAAGCTTTTCAAAATTATAATGTTTTAAGAACGAAAGGGTCCCTCAACAATAATATTTTTCATTGTTATAAATTATTTATATGGAAGCAGATGTTTATTTAATAAATTTTTAGTTTTTCATTTAAAATAAAAATTGCAATGTTTCAATGTTCGGTAGCGGATGTCTAATATACGCCCCCATAGATACTCAATGTTCTTTCTTTCCACATCTAATAACAATAAAGTTTATTACTCTTGAAATTGGCAAAAAGAAAAAGCATTGCGTCCGGATATAATGTTATCGATTTTTGAAAATTTTCTCCATTAGTCAATATTCTTTAAAGCGATAAAATAAGTGCAATTTCGTAAAGTATTCAAAATTGCGAGTATGTCTTATTCATGTTTATAGAACAAACTAAAAAAACTGAACATATCTTTTAATAAAGCGATTTAAAAGCAGTTAATTATTTTCTCATTTTGAGAGATAAAAAAAAAAATATATATATATATTTAACTCATTTTTATTTATTTTTCATTTAGCTAATAATTTTATTATTATATATTAAGATAATTTGTTTTTTGTCGCGATCTACGTCAAATGTGTCTGGGTTAAGAAAAAAAAAAAAAAAACATTTTGTTTCATATTTTCTTTAATTTTAATATTTGTTTTCTTTGTGATTTCTATTTCTTATAGTCATTATCAAGATGAAAGCTGAAGAAAAATCATCTATACCGCGAGTACGTATTGCTATTATTGGCAATGCTGATGTTGGCAAATCAGGTAAATATTTTTTTAATTTCTTTCCATCTTAATAGCGCACTTTCACAAATCAAATAACAACAGCGAATAAATTTATAGTAAGACGTAAGACATATATTAAGTAATGGTCGCCTCTAGTTGAACTATAAAGTTCTGCAATCTGATGACTGGTCATTATAACATATCCCAGACTTTTGAATGTTATTTCCTCATTCATTCTTGCTTTTTATTGAATATCTTAAGTGGCTGAGTTTGCAATAATCTCATGCAATACATTTTTCCTCATGCTTTGTGTTTTTTAGAATATATCTTAAGTGGCTGTGTTTGCAATAATCTCATGCAATATTTTTTATGCCTTCAATTACTCGCATAGTTAAAGTTATAATAAAATTATATATTAAATGGTAATAAAATACAAAACTGTGATTTCGTGAAATTCTATCCTATAATATTCTCCCCATCCAATTCAATCTCTCAAAATGGGACTTATTCTGTGACCAAAATATTAAGTCACTATGTTTATAAAATGAAAAATCGTTCCTAATTCGTTCAAATCATTCTCGTCGCCTGCACAAAACTCAAATTATATTCCATACTAATAATTTAATCCGACGGAAGGAATGGATAGTGCACAATCTCACAATAATCGAAGAAAACTGTTAACATCTTCTTGCCATTTTGAGCGACTTTCGAGTCGTTTTTTCCGTCGTTGGCTCATTTTTTGCACCATGTTCGCTCGATTGACCGATTGTTTCTGGGCTGTATGCGTGGATCCAAATCCCATCTTCGGTAATTGCGCTCCCGTTTCAAAGTCGTATAGTAAACATTGAAAAACTATTTTTTGTATGTTTGCAAGACACCTGTAACTTTACGGCAGCTTATTATAAAGGCATAGAAATCGACATAGATGTCAAAAACAACGGCACTACCAGAATAAAAAAAAAAAGTTTGATATTTCATAGCACCCAATAAGTTTAACTAAAATATCTCCAAATTAACAATTTCGCATATCATTAACCAGCAGCGTAATAATGTAAACATTGCAAGATTTCTTGATTTTTTTTTTTGGAAAATAGACTTAGGCCACTTTGGTAATAAACGGTTCAAATGTCATAAATTCCAAGTAATTGTCGGCGATATTTCAAAATTCGGCGTGTTGTGGTGTCTTTGGCTTTTAGGATCTTTGCATTTTCGTCTCGATCATATTCATTATTACGGAGTTAGGAGCACCCTTGCCATGCGTATCATTCCAAGGCTTCCAGCAAAATAGTGAATAGAGGGACATGCCGAACTTCATTTCAAACCTTAATATTCTCTGATATGTATTAGTAAGTATTGTTAACGAAATGGAAATTAATTTTTTCATAAGTTATAATAAGTTGCAAGTCTTTCTGGGTGTTGCATGCGGATATACCACATAAACTTAATATATCCTTGTACACAAGTGATTTAGGGTATAATTATGCATTTATATGTGATATAACAATCCTATGGACAAGGTTATCATAATCAAGTTTTAAGTTATCTTTTAAGTCGATAAATTATTACAAAAGTTTACGTTGAGTTTTACTGCTTCGAATATCAAATGAAAAGCATTAAATTTCTTTTAATTTATTCTATGTTCAACACATTTTTTCTTCATCATAAATTAACTTTAACAACCCTAACAATATAGTCTTTGACATGCTTTTATAATTGATTACGAATATTTAAACTATGTACACATTATTACAACTCTTTCTCTCTCTCTCTCTCTCTCTCTCTCTCTCTCTCTCTCTCTCTCTGTTCGTGTACGCAGTAGAAATGAAGGATAAAGATAAAGAAAATTACATTCGCCTTAAGGCGAATTGTCATTACCCACCATCCTAAAATAAGAAAAAAGAACGAAAAATTGTTTTTTTTCAATGGGATCAGGACTGATATTACATCGGTTGGTTTGGTAGGTGATTCTAGGAAGTACGTGTACAGGTTGACATTAGAATGTCTTCTGTAGGCTATAAGCTACATATGATTATTTGTTATTGATACTTCAGAGCGTCATTGTAAATGTTCACAAGTTGCTAGGAGATTATCTTTGTAAGGAGATTATCTGTTCAAAATATGCGCTTGTAGGCTTTATGCGTAACCCTTAGTTAAGCATATAGATGGCAAGTTCTAGATGTTTATCTTAATTTTTGCCATCGTGATTGACAGCTAAAAGGTTTCAGCTTCTTACCCTAGTCGCTTTACTATCGTCGGATGTGCTGTGCTTAGGTATCGATATATGAAAGACTAATGTTCCAAAGAAACAAAACGGATAAGTCCACCAAACATGGTCTTTTACAACACGACTCGCTTTTATCAGCGTTCTCCCTCATTCGCCTGCATGCCACACGACACACAACCGCGACTTATCGCCCTTCGATCGAACTATCGCCCTTGGAGTAACCTACCAGCAGTGATCGTTCGTAAATGTATAAATTTTGTTCTTATTAAGAAATATTCAACATAAATGTATCAAGTCTAAGACCAATTTCTTCTTTGCTATTTATGCTCTCATAACCGTGGAAAGACTTTGCTATTTCGTTTCTAACGCTCAAAAATGCTTGTTCATCAGCCTGGTGAATACAAATGGCGGATATCTGGAATATATAGACTCTGCTCTTAACAGCCCGCTGATCCATCTGTCACCTACTACTACTAACACCAGCGCTGGCGCAATTTTGCGTATGCCTATTTCTATTAAAAGGGATCGCCTACCAATTATAATATTTCAAATTGGGGGAAAGAATATCCTAATATGCGTTAGAATAAATTGGAAATGAGTTGAAATTAAAATGTTAAAGATTGAGTGACGTTAGCTGACATATAAGTGTACCGATCATAACCATTTTCGGACCGAACAGACATGCAGTTCTAAAGACTATGTGGGCAGCTGGTCTCAGTCTCAGTTTCTAATCTAATGTGGGCGCATATATGGGCAGATCTCGACCATTTTTTAATCTTGGTTGCTTCATCGATCACGCAACCTATGTACCACATTTCAGCTTCCTACCTTTATGGTTGCGGTTATGGCAAACTGAACATAGACATTCAAAAGCCTTTTCATGCAAAAAAAAGCCAACACAAAATTTTAGAACATAACGGGTCTTGTAAGCAATTTTTTGAAGAACGAAAATTAGTAAAGACACCGAATGACTTGCTTGGTAGATCTAGAATTAAAAAGTTCAGTGCATTTATAAAAAAAGTCTAATTTCATAAGAGATATGAATGCCTTTACCAAAGCTGAAAGAATCAAACATTACTATATCCTCCATAATCTACAATTGCTATTAAATGCAAGCGGATAATGCGCTTGATTTTGTTATAACCAAACGGTGAATGAGTCGAATAACATGATCTAAGTCGACTGATTAAGCCATGTAAAATTTATTGAAAATGTCAGGTATCTAAGATTCGTTTAAATGCGAACATGACATTCTTGCTTTCTGTTGTCTTTTGCTTTTTCCACAATGTTTTGCTTAATGTAAACAAAATGTGATTATAAAATGCATGCAAGCAACGTATACATACCAGAATTTATATGCATAAACATGAACTTATAACAATCGCATGTAGCGAACAACAAGTGGTAATATTTAATATGTACATATATGCATATATATATATATACATACACATATGTAAGGCGTAAATAGTGAGAATATCATATGGTCAACTTGGTTTAATAAACCTTTCATTTCAAACCTTTTTTTTAAAATATATATGATAAAAATTTTAAGCAATTTTATCTAATTTGTCGTAAATTAATTTTAATTCAAAGTTTCTTTTACCTAGAATGTGTGTGCCGCAGGGATCAAATACATGTTTTATTAAAAATGAAATTTGTTTTTTTTTTTTTTTCCTTGCAAAGTTCGTGTGCCCTGCACATCTATGGCCAAAGAAAATATGCAACAAAAGCAAAAGGATAGAAAAACAAAATGCATATCGACCATTGGAGTAACTAACTGTTCTTGGCAAACGCATTTATATTGTACGCAAAGATGTGCAAACTTATTGATCGCTTCAGTCGAACATTAAACGCTAACTAGATTTATACAATAGATCGAGCGGCAGTTCGCGTGACAGAAAACTCAATTAAAGCAAATTAACCTACATAGTTTAGTTTGAAAATAACCCACTTACACGTATGTATATATAATATGGCGATTCCTTGAAGGAACGTGCTCTTTACGTGTAACATTGTGACAGTGAGTAAGGAGAAAGAAAGAGAGGGAACAGCCTCAACCAGAGAAGTGTGCGTCCAATTGGTAGGTGCTATGAGTTTACAAGACAGAGCTCTCACTTTAGCTGCGACCCACAAGCCAAGTATGATCGACTGCACTGAGAATTAGACCCGGACAAGCCGACTTGATAGTCGCGTTTCTTATCTACTTGGCTGCATG